GGTAACAACTACGTTGCAGGCAAAGAGTGATGAACGGTTGTCAGCCTCAGCCACAGCCAACAATTCCATCAAGCTTCCAAAGTGGTATCCTTGAAACTCCCGTCCTCTGCAAACATAAGCTTCATTACAATATCCCTATTTTCCCGCCACGGTACCAAGTGGGGAAGAAGCTTTCGCTTGCTACAACGGGTCAATGGTACTGAGCGGCCGGCTTATGCTTAATACAACGTCAACCCTCTCATTTCTCCGAAGTGAAGCTTTTTTGGGCCCATTATGGATCGCCGATGATGCAAAATATAAGCTTGGTGGTCCTGTTGGGGGTCTGGCCTGTTGGCGGCAGTGTACCTATCCGAATTCACTTGGACTTTGGCGCTGATCCTGATTTACTAGTGTCAAAAGATGAGAACTAGTTGGGAGTTGGTTACTATAGTTCAGTCGTAAGTGCAAGCTAGGCTATCCCCGGTTTGCCTTTACTACCTATACTGGAAACCGTTGAGGAATTTGCTACTGGCGCGGTTAATGATCACACGCTTGTCGGCTAGAGGTATATGGTAGTATTTTATCGCTCATGATAAGCACTAGTTGAGGCAGTGATTGGACATTCTATGAGGCTTCCAGTAAAAGAATTGACGCATGGTGCTCTAATGTAATGCGAACCGACCATACCTATGCAAGTTTGACAGCGCAACCCCTGGCCGGTTCCCCGGAATATCCGCGCCGCCGCTGACGATCTAGTCTGGACAGAGGTCGACCTGGCTGGTTTACACGCAGCTCGAGTTCGCTAGAGGTAATAGCACCTTGTTGGCTTCTTTCTGTTGAGGAGTCGACGTTTTACTGTGGTAATCTCCCCTCTTGGCGGGCATGATTCTGAAACTGAGTTGTGTTGGGCGGAGAACAATCCTTCCTGAAGTCCTATAAGAGCTTCCTTCAAGAGAAAACGGATCATCCTTGGTGAATTCGAATTCAGTAGAACAACCGCGCAAAGTCAAATTCCACCTTACGTTCCGACCGATCACCAAAACAAGATGTCCATTATCTCTGCCCTCCGCCCGCCAGTCTGGATGATTATGGGACATATGCGTCCTCTCCGTTACTTATCATCTGGGTTACCTCCATATTGTTCTATGTCACACGGACATTGCCCACACTCCTGGGTTTGAAGTTCAATAGAGCCTCAATGCTTGACATCAACCCAACCTCGCCATACAATGCCAGCCTTGCCTCGGCCAGTGTCACATGTGTTGGAGGTAACGGAATGATACACCACAAGTGGCATTGAGTGTGGGAGTGAATTTCGTGTGTTAATTAGGTTAAAAGAGAGAGAGAGAGCAGAACAGGGAGGACGGAGTCCGACGTGGTTTATATACAGGGTAGCTATGTGTGGATCGTATCCACTTAGACAGAAACGCCAAAGAATGTGATGGCTTCAACAACATGGACATTCACCGGTGACTTTCATCAGTCAAACTGCCGACCGGAATTACCGACAGAATGCCACACGGACATCCGCCGGCGACTTTCATCACTTAAACCACCGACCGGCATTAGCGACGGGCAACTGGACGAAGGCTGGCATTCAGAAGATCTACTTGTAGGCAGATGAACTAGATAGACTCGCACCGATGCCCGGCACACAGGGCTCGGTACGTACCAACCTTCTTTGGTATAAGAAGGCCTCGAGGCCCGACCTTCTCATGGAGGTTGAAAGGATCAACAAGGCCTTCGAGACCAAAGTAGTTTATCAGCTGAATTGAACTACTGTTCCAAGCCCAGAATACTGCCCTTGTCACATTCTACCTGGCTATTCAGCGACAGTTTGATGTCATTCGGCTTATCTTGTCGATTTTGCACCTTGCTGGCGTTGTTGTTGCCCTCCGGCTGGGAAGTGTCTCCCTCGTTCCTTTCAACCATCTTTTCGTTCCATCGGCGATCATCGTCACGCTCCACACAACATCCGTCCTTTTCTTGGAAAAGAAAATCGTCAAGTTTCCTGGTTCTGCATCCTTCTTCGCCCAACGACTGCGTACCGTCTATCGTATCTAGGCCAATCCTCGCGGACTGTGCCTGTCGGGTGATCCATATGCTGACCTGGCAGTCCCAAAGTTCGGATTAGATTTGCTCTTCTTCGATGTGGACATGCCATAGCGTTGTTCGCCATCCGTCATCTCATAGCCTCCTTCGCCACCAAGACTGTGACAAGGGCAGTGTTCTG